TACATATGGTTACTGCTACAGTGCCGGTGGTTAATCCTAATACAGGTGGTTATTGCTACAGTACAGGTGGTTGCTGCTACAGTACATATGGTTACTGCTACAGTGCCAGTGGTTAATCCTAATACAGGTGGTTACTGCTACAGTACACGGTGGTTACTGCTACAGTACATATGGTTACTGCTACAGTGCCGGTGGTTAATCCTAATACAGGTGGTTACTGCTACAGTACACGGTGGTTACTGCTACAGTACATATGGTTACTGCTACAGTGCCGGTGGTTAATCCTAATACAGGTGGTTACTGCTACAGTACAGATGGTTACTGCTACAGTAGAGTTGGTTACTGCTACAGTACAGGCAGTTACTGCTACAGTACATGTGGTTACTGCTACAGTATTGGTGGTTAATGCTACAGTACAGATGTTACACTGTCGATAGCATACACCCATAAACATGATCTAAAATAGCGATGCAGGCAATTTCCCTTGTCGTGATAAAGAAAGATTTGGTCGAGCATATAAATGAGATGGCGCTATTACAGGAGCCTATCGGTCAATGTCTTAGCAGTTGTAAGGCCTAATGTATGACCTCTAACATCAATTTTATGTCCGTTAATACACAGTATGTCAAATGTTTATTCAGCACTCAACGTACGCTGTGTAGTTAGATTATCCAGAGCGTCGTTACGAAGATGTTGCATAGCATTGCACGTGACATCCTTTACGACAGGAATCACTACTGAAGACAACTTGCAAGCCGACACTACCAAGATGTTTCTCACAATCAAGTCAGATGATTTTGTAAATACCTATTCATTACAACCACTAGATATTAAACCTGAGAGTTCAAAGAGTACGCCTACATTATCCCAGCCAGTTGAGTGTTAGTAGTATGCTCTGTAAAAGGCATCGTTCGATTTGTATGGTTTGGCGGAATCCGACCGTCCATGGCTGTACCTGTAATTGTGACGCGACGGTCGAATAAATGAGTCTCGGCTGACAAAGACTAAGATTACATGATAATATTATATTTGGAGCGTGTAAAATGCAAGACTGCTTGAGATAGCTCCGCTGTTAGCATTGCACATTTCATTTCCAGAATTCAAAAATATCACTATTCACCAAAAATGACAAAAATATTCATCAATTATAGAATTAAAGATATCATTACAAAATGAACAAATCTGACAGAGGTCCACATGTAGTACCTATATATGTAATATCAAAGCAATTGGACTTGCGGTTTTTAACAAGAAGTCGACAATATCACTTTTTACCAAAAATGACAAAAAAATTCACAAAAATTATAGAATAAAAGATATCATCACGAAATGAACAAATCTGAGAGAGGTCCACATGTAGTACCCATATATGTAATGTCAAAGCAATCAAGTTTAAAATATCACTTTTTACCAAAAATGACAAAAATATTCACCAAAATTAGAGAATTGAAGATATTATCAGGGGGAAATTCTTCTCTATGGGGTTCTCCACACTTGCCAGGGGGGAATCTCGTCTTGTCTCTATATCTTGTCCCCTTGAGGTACGGGATCGGGAAGGTCACTTATACTTTACCGTCAAATAAGACACACACAACGAAATACGTTTCAGCTCTCGTCTTAGTCGATCAGTCGAGCACTCTATAAGACACAGCGCCCTGAGGAAAAGTCCCCAAGACTATCGCAAGGCTGACCCAAGACTCTCTTAGACTGCGTCAACACTCGCCCCAAGGCTCTCCAGGACTGCATCTGTGACTCTCTAAGACCAACTCAAACTCTCTTTATTTATTTTCAAAACTCTAACCAATTACAAAACAGTAAAAAGACTCTAGGGCGTAACTGAATACTGAATACGTCATATCTTTTGATTAATCGTTCACTACATTAATAATTATGGAAACCAACTGTCAGAATGAGTAGTTAGAATAGCGGCGGTTATCTCGTAATTAGTTCCAAATCACTGAGCCAAGTTCCGTCCAAAACTTCAAATAGGCCTAAACGATGACAGACATAACACAGCAATTCGCTAATAATCAGCTAATTAAGTCGGTTAACAGATACGCAAAAACAAATTCATGACACATCCCTTCACCCAAACTGAGATATGCCTCCTGGCACTGCACGTTCACAAATCAAAGATACCGTCAGCCACTCATCGTCATAGGGTTAAATACAATACTAATAAAAGTTATAAATCAAAAAGAGTAAAACACACTAATTAAGTACAATGATTATAAAGTCTAAATACAATGGTTATAAAGTCACAAATATCAACGGTTATAAATAAAAAAAAACAAGGGAAAGGCTACCAATAGGCCCGCTTTTCTCAAACAGTTCGCTGAGGGTAACCCGTCGCTGCACTGTCTCCGTTACTAAGGTTACAAACTCTATATCAAAAGGTCAAAAAAACTAAGGCGTGGCGGTGTAACCAAGCGATCAGCCAATCGCTGCAGTCGACAGCATGATCACGTGATTACCAGGGATTCGTCTCTCGGTTAAAGCATTGCAAAGCGGTAACTAATAAACAATGAATAAAAAAGACTATTAATCAAACTCCTGTCATATACGCTTATAAACTTCAACTGAACTCACAAGTCGTTAGTCTAAACAAAAGTCATACGGCATGGAAACGGAATGCAAAGACAAATTCGCTTTCATAACACATTACTCCTCTGGCAAAAAAGACGGAAAAAGGCTAAAACGATAGAAACTACTAAGTTACATATAAACCTGTCAATCATGAAAAAAAGCTTGCGTTATCAAACAATACGTATATAGGCGCACCATACTCTTATCTCAAAAAGACATTAAAAAACGTTACAAAGGTGCTCTAAACACAAAAGGCGTCAGAAGTATTCTGGAAACAACACATAAACAAAAACAACTCTTAAAACGTCGATATCTCTGTACTCGACAAATCCCAAAACTCTGAAAAAACACGTGGGGGCATCACTCTCCCCATCATAATCCTTACTCTTAAACTCATTAAAACACCATAAAACGTCACAAAACTCATGACACTGTGTTGCAAATACTTGTCCACTGAGGCGCGCTTGAATCGTTATAAAGGACCTCGCACGTCACTAAATATCAGTTTAAAACAAAGATCTGGGCGCTTACACACATACAATTCAACACCACAAAAAACGTTAAAAAGAACGGTAGGAAAAGCAAGCAATACATTACATTACTGAGCAAT